TCAAGTGGCCCTAATCCTCTTCCGTATATTTCAACAGGGGTATGTAAGTGTGTATGAATATTTGTGAAATCCTCCCGGTTTTATTCGAGCCATGACGAAATATGAACTGTGTGATTCATTGCTTTGTAATCAGCTTTAATTTAACTCTAAATATAATGCTGCTTTGATTTAATTGTTTCTTCTTGTTTTCTTTGTTGTGAGTTACCTATGCTGTGTGTAATCATATGAGTTTATATTCTGAACAAAATGCTTGTTTAATGAAAATTAGCGGCACTTTCATTTTCTGGTATTACAGTCTTCTTGAATTTGTGCAAATGCTTCCTCCATCCGACGTGACCTCTGACCTGTGTTTTGGTGCTGCAGGTACTCTCAGGCGGACCAATGGGAGGCCTTGCTGGGTCTGCATGTTCAGAGTCAGACCAACGAGTGGACGGTGAGGAGGAAACTGAGGCGGATCGTTGCTCACAGGGACTACAACACCTTCACCTACGACAACGACGTGGCTCTGATGGAGCTGGACACGAACGTCACGCTCAACCAGAATATCTGGCCCATCTGCCTGCCCTCGTCCACTCACGACTTCCCAGCAGGCCAAGAGGCGTGGATCACCGGCTGGGGCGCCACCAGAGAGGGAGGTGAGCAGAATCAGGGTGACCACTATAAAGTGGTGCAGGAATGAGTCCTAACAAATGGAAATGAGTCAGCTTTTTAGCAGTTTTAACCAGAAAGTGGCTTTATTACTGTTAAACACCTGAACTAAGAACATCCATAACATTCACCTGTTTGCAACTCACGAATGATTTATCAATTGTATATAGACTCTTATGGCGCTACTTCTATTCTACTTTATGGTATTTACCTCACTATTTAATCTGTTTTATTGTGTTGCACTGTTGGAGGAGCCCGGGACCTAAGATTTGAATCGACATAATGCCCTGTAGCTATGAACAAATTACAATAAAAGCCTTGAATCTTGAAAATATATTTGTACCCCCAATGGGCTGATTTGATGAATGTTGGGTCGATCTTTTTGATCTTAAAATCAATTATTCTCAATTTAACTCGAAAAACCACACAAACGATCGTCCAACTCGGCCTAGCAAGTTTTTAGCTAATGTCTGCATATGCTAATTATTGAAACTTATGCTAATTATGCAAATTGCCCAACATATGCAAGTGAGCATCCATACGTTTCTTTGTTCCGGTGACCCATACTTTACAATGAGTTCTAAGCAGGAAGCAGATCTTCAACAGTAGTCTATCTGATTTAGAATCTAAGATTCATTTGGATGTAAGAGTTGACTCGTTGATTTGTATTCATCCATTTTAAACCTTAGTTTACTCACATGTATGTTTCTTACTTTGGTCATCTTGTCCGTCAGGCAGTGTTGCCCCCATCCTCCAGAAGGCGGAGGTTCGGATCGTCAACAGCACGGTGTGTAAGACTCTGATGGACGACGAGGTCACCGACAGGATGATCTGTGCCGGGGTCCTCAAAGGAGGCGTGGACGCATGTCAGGTAAAAAACACAGAGCAAAACGTCTACCTTGTATATAAAGATCATGATTACTAATGCATTCCAAAAACCGTAGGCCAGAAAACTATTTACTATATATTTAGTATGTCCTTTTCCATTACGAAAGCCAGCTTTTCTGACACCTGATTATTGTATGGTTTGAACAAGAGTTATTTGTACTGTTTCCAGAATAATCCAGATATTCTACAAAGTATATCTCAGCCTTTTAAGGACCCTAAACGTATTTAAATGGGTCAAAAATATCATTGGGCAAAACACCTAACCCCAAATTGCTCCCGATGGCCAATAGCAGGGGCGGACTGGGACTACAAATCAGCCTGGGACTCTCGACCGGCCCACCTCGGTACCGCAAGTAATTACCGCTAGTAAATTGTCAACGGGGGGGGTTGCTAGTGACTTATCCGACCGGCCCACATCGTCCGACCGGCCCACTTCAGTACCGGCCCATTGGGATTCGTCCTGATGGCCAGTCCGCCAATAGTGTGTGAATGTTGGCTTCCTTGAGCATGAATGGCTGAATGCTGACGTGTATAACTAAAAGCGCTTAGAGGGGTCGTAAAGACTGGATGAAATGCAGTCCATTCACCTCCATTTGAAAAGGTTTTGTTCCAGGGATTTTTATCTTAAAATATGTGGGTTGCTAGATGGAATCAAGATCACAATTCAAAAGTTGTCAACTACAATTGCGGATAGAAACATGGAGAGAATCAAAGCAATGAAAAGAAAAGTCAGTCTTATGGCTCTTGTAGAAACGGAGTAACTTCTTGATGAACTATTCCCCATTTCTCTCTCAGCTGAAGTATTTGACATACTCCCTGTCTTCCTCTGATTCAAGCCTCTCAGAGGGGATCGTTGTTTCTCTGTCGCGGCTCCCACACTGTGGAATAATCTGCCCCTGCACATCGGACAGACCTCGACACCGTCTGCTTTTAAATCACTTCTTAAAACCTGCCTTTTCTCCTTAGCGTCTCCTAGCGTTTTGACATCGTAGATGGTTGCTTTTAAATTGTTTTTACTTGTACTTGTTTTATGGTGTGTGAGCTGAGCTGTGTGAATTGTGTGTGTGTGTTGTTTATTTGACTGTACAGCACTTTGGTCTGGAGGTTTTGAAGTGCTTCATAAATAAAGCTGGATTGTATTTGTGATGGAAACTTCTGAATCAATGGAGACGAGACTCATGGAGACACGGGGAGAGCTGGAACTTTGATGGCAAACACTGATGGTTTATCTGGAGCACTTTGGTCTGGAGGTTTTGAAGTGCTTTAACATCGTGCATAACAAAATAAAACACTATAATAACACCTATCAGCTGACGCCAACAGGCAGGAACAGGGAGACAAAAGACTGAGAGCAGCCCAAGGTCACAGGTCTGTGCTCAGCGAGGGCAGTACAGACTGATCAACTGGGTCAAAGTTATGGGCCTAGGAAAACATTCCCCCAACAGTGTTGTAATGTAACCCTCCTCTCTGTGTCTCTCAGGGAGACTCCGGGGGTCCGCTGTCCGTCACCGGCTCCAGTGGGCGGGTCTTCCTGGCCGGCGTGGTGAGTTGGGGCGACGGCTGCGCTCGCAGGAACAAACCCGGCGTCTACGCCCGGGTCACCAAGTTCAGGCGCTGGATAAAGGAGAACTCAGGAGTGTAGAGGACGGGTAACTCTCAAGGACATGAATGTGACTCAATTCTTTGTTTTGGAATACGCAGTGAAAACCTGTGAAACAGACTTTCTTTTTAGAGGTTTTTCTAAGTTTACAAATGTTCTTTAAATCAAGAAAGCAGTTGACCGCACTGCTTCTGCTCAGAAACAGAAAAACACTTTTCTGCAAAATGTCGTGTCGTTCATGTTGGGGAGCAGGGAGATATTCTCATGTATATATTTTTGCTATAAAATACTTAATAAAATAAAATTAGTTTGGAGATGAAACACTTGAAATGTTTCCCCAAGCTCAGCGGTGAAATGTAATTTAGTACATTAACTCCAGTACTGTACTTAAGTACACATTTGAGTATTTCAACTTACTTCTACTTCACGAGATCTCAGGGGTAAATAAGGTACTTTTTAATCCACTACATTTGTCCGACAGCTTTAATATGTTTTACGATCACGGTTTTTCTTTCCTGCTCCCATTTCTAAGTAAAGATTTTGAATGTCTGTTATGAATTGAAGGATGAATTGTAGCTTTTATGTGTCGAGGAAACGGGGCTGTTTTTCTGAGATACTCATGAAAGTGTCCTCACCAAAGACATGTGGTTGTCACAGGACAAAGCCACGATGATCTGATAGAACAAATGTGTGTTTTAAATAGAATATATAAAAGTGTCTCAGGTTTAACAGAAATGTTATTATTAGTAAATTAGGAAGATTTATCAGTCATCCAATCTGTATTTGGAGGTTTGTAGATGTGCATCTTGTGTTTCTTTACTTATATTCTCCCAAAATAAGATTTGATTTGTTGCTGTCTTATTGGACAGCCTATTTTATTGAAATAGATAGAAGTAGATTATATTTTACCGTGTTCGTAGACATTGTGATGATTACACCAATAGCTTTAGATGATTTATCAATAATTAGCATATTATCTGAATAAATAATATATATATAGCATTTTTCTGTTTGTCACCAGTAAAAACACAAATTCAGTTGGCTACGATCCAGCAAACTGTAAACAAGAAGCACTTTGTTGTGTCTGTTAGGTTGTGTGAAATGTTTAGTTTTTTCATTGATTGCATTTCTTTGTTCTTCTCTACGTTTGAGAACCTAAAATGTTCAGTTTTTGTTACATTTCTTGTTTTTTAAAGCTGTGTTTTGCCCTCTCTGCTGTGACACATTTTCTGCTGAATGTATTTATTATGTGTACAGAATTTCCTCATTCATCTGTCTCTGAGGTCGGGTAGCAGGATTATTGAAAACTTTACATATACGGTAATACAATTCAAAGGATGACGCACAGTTGCAGAATGAAATACTTAATCAAAATGTTTTTTTATTCATCTATTCATTTTTCTACGTTACGTTGGAGACTCTTAAGTGATTTATTTTCTGGTTTCGTGGCATGATGAGTTGAAGTGAATATAATCACTAATTATACAATCAGTACACATATAGAAATATTCTTATTATTTTTGATGGGTTTTAAAGGTCACCTATTATGCAAAATCCACTTTTTCATGTCTTTTATACATCAACATGTGTCCCCTCTGTGGAAAGAGACTCTGAAAGTTTCAGGAAAAAAGATTCTCTCTCTTTTTGTCCTGATCCATTTATATAAAAAAAAAAACTTTCCGAAAATGAGCTGATCAGATTATGATGTCATAACGATGTTTGGCTTGTGTAACCATTAGCCAATCACCAAGGTAACATTTGAATATTTGTTTTTTAAAAATGTAAATAAAATGTCCAAAGAAAGTATTCAGAGTCAATGTTATGTTATTACAGTTTTTTAATTATTATTTGATATATATATATTCCTCAAATGACCTGCTTTGACTGTAGTTAGAGAAACTTCTAGATACAGTCTGAAAGCATCCTTTTTTAACTTTAAACATGATCTTTAATAAATGGTAAATGGACTGTACTTATATAGCGCTTTATCCAGTCTTTAAGACCCTC